GATCGACGAAGCTTTGCTTCCTGCTACAAAGCCGACTACGAAATCATCAGCATCTTCTCACATGCACCCCAACTACCAATCTCGAGCTGATACAGCCAGCATGGCACTTGGAACGGGGCTGGATACCGCTTTGCCATCAGGACTACCGCGTTCACAAACGACAAAGAGAGAGCCGCAATTTCCGGTCAAACAGGATTTCATTCCGGTTGACCGGCAGCCGAAGAAGACCTCTGCCTTTGCAAGACTGCCCTCCCCCCTCCTGATACCTCCATCCTCACCAAGGCTATCCCTAGTCCCATCCCCATCGACGCTCTCACCGACTGTGCTCGCCCAACCTCTACCGCCGTCACCATTACCATCAATGCCACCATCCGCGATGCGACTTCCACCGCCATCTCCGTCGAGACCTGTCTTAGACGTGAAGGCTCTACTCGCGAATCCACGGGATCGATCGATTACGGCCGAAGGACCGAGGTCGAGAAAGACCACGACATTGGATTCAGGTAGCTTTGGTACAGGAGCTGATGACGCTATTGTAACGAGCAGGACAACGATCGAGCATCTCGAGCGGGATGGGGGATATGGTGTCAAGACTGCAGCCGAGCTGTCATCGCCTCGCATTCTCGAGGGCCCCTCGTTAACTTCCAAGCTTGTGCCAACAACGAACAGACTTGGCGACGAGCGAAAGCCCAGACCACCCATCCTCAATCTCAAGCTGCCGCTTACGCCAGTGTCTATCACGATGGAACCACCGACCCCACTCTCTCATGGCACGTCTGGGGCTGGTACAGTCACACAAGCGGATCAACGAGCTTCGGCTGCTTCTCCTTCACGGATTCCATCCCTATCCTCATCCCCATCTCGTTCCCATCATGCAGGGGACGCTCCTGCGACTCCCCAACCGTACTACACTGTCTTCGGCTCGACTTCGGGGCGGACCGTGTCTGCGGTTTCAGGGGAGGACTGGATCAGCAGCTCATTTGTTCATCGGACGCAGAGCACAACAAGTGAGCGTTCGCTCGTCAAAAGGTTCAGCGAGCGTTTTGTCAGGAGGAAGGAGAGCGCAGACGATGAACAGAGGGGTAGAACAAGCAGCAGCAGTATGAAGCTGTCCAAACGTAGTCTCAGTCGTTCTTCGCGGACTTCGGCGTGGTCACTGGGCGCTGGATTCGACGACGACATCGAGCTACCGCCACCCAAAGAACTTCGATCAAGGAAACCAGAGCCGCAGTCGGGCAATAGAGTGTGGAGGTTGATGAAGAGAATCAGCACGGGCGGGATGAAAGAGAAGTACGAGGCTGATGATCACGCCTTTCCGCCCCCCGTTCCTCCGCTACCTTCTTCGTTGTATTCCCATCGGGGGCCTTTGCCATTGTCGACCCGCTCCCTGCCCATCCCAACATCCAGCAACACAATGCGCTCACCATCTCTCGAATCGAAGAGCATTCCTAATCGATCTCGCCAGTCCTCCGTATCGTCTGATTACCCAGAGCGCGTCAGCGACGACCCAAGTATCATCCGGGTCCCGACAATGAATGCTATCAACTCCTCCCGTTTCGAAGCAGTTACGTTCCGCGCGCAGAAGAACGAGAAGACAGGGATCACCGAGCAGGAGAAGGCTGATCGCTGGAATGAATTGTTGGAGAGAAGCGACAGAGCTGGTGGGACACTTCGCTTTGGAGTCCTGGACAATTCAAGTAGCGGAGATTTGTTTTCGCTATAACTCTTATCCACCTGCTCATGTTTTCTCTGATGCAGCTCTTCGCTCATGCACAAGTCCAGGCAAGTCTACACACTTCCGAAGAAAAGGGCACGGATACTTATCGCTATAGTCCGTGCAGATACTGGTGCGGGCCTGCTTTTCCGTGCTCCACTCGCGTATACAAGGCGTTGCCGCAATTGAGGTACCAACAACAAAACGCTGACGCAATCGAAAACAAAACTTCGGGCGCTTAGCTGCTGCCTGGCTACCCCACGCGTTTGCCCGGTTAACGGGTTGGGGCCCCGACCCACTGCGGGGTATCGGGTCTTGATGGATTCGCGAATCGTGAGAGTAGCGAGAAGCTGCGTGACCGCCAAGCAGATCTTCGATTGACACTAGGCGCAAACTCTCGAGCACTTCGTTGGCCCTTCTATGAATCCAAGACCGTGGATCAAAGCAGAGTCTTGGGACTGGGACAACGCCGCACATATTCTGTGGGGGGACAGATTGTGCCACCCATTTCACACATCCACCCATGACACGCTGAATCCAGCGGATGATGCGACAACATGTGTTGGTATGGAATGCGGAGGAAAGCCGCTTCTTTTGACAGGGTTAGATCATCTTGACCGCCAGAGCGACCATCGGCCCGGGAGCATTACAGTGGTTAAAAGCCAGGGGTGTGGAGAAGGATTCGACTGTGTTGTAACCCGGTTCCCACCATGAGCAAGAGTGTGAGCGATCATTCGTTTAGAATGGAGTGCCCATCACTAACGACTTCGATAGTACAGTCCTGGCATCGCCTCTAATCCCGTGCGAAAACTTGCCTTCTCCGCTCTGACTTCCCTCTGACTTGAGCCCAGTACATCGTGGGATCGTTCGCATGTATCGGCGGAGGTCTGTTCGGTTTGGACATCTCGTCCATGTCCGGCGTGCTCTCGAATCCGGCATACCTGAAGACGTTCCACAACCCGACTTCTAACCCTCAGGGAGCCATTGTGGCGGCGATGCCTGCAGGGTCTTTCGTTGGATCTCTGCTCGTCACCTCCCTTGGTGACAAGATCGGCCGTAAGCGGACGGTGCAGCTCGCCGGCCTGATTTGGGTAATAGGGTCTATTTTGCAATGTGCTTCGATTGTGCGTGCATCCACGCTCCTGCGCACCTACTCCTCCTGACCCTACTCTTCTAGGACCGGGGGATGCTTGTGGTCGGCCGTATCATCTCTGGTATCTCTGTCGGTCTCGCTTCTTCCGTCGTGCCGATCTACCAAGCTGAAGTAACCGCACCTCATCTCCGAGGACGGTTGATTTCGCTCCAGCAGTGGTCTATCACATGGGGGATCCTGATCCAATACTTCATCCAGTTTGGCTGCTCCTACATCAATGGCACCGCCTCCTTCCGTATTCCCTGGGGTCTGCAAATGATTCCCGCTATCATCCTCGCTATCGGCATGCAGTTCTTCCCTGAGTCTCCGCGTTGGTTGGTCGACAACGGTCGCGAGCAGGAAGCTTTGACCGTCCTAGCCGATCTGCATGGTGGAGGTGACGTCAACAACGAACTGGTGTTACTTGAATACGAGGAGATACGGCAGCAGGTCGCGTTCGAGCGGGACGAGGGGGCGAAGAGTTACATGGATCTCGTCAAGCCCGGTATTTTCCGCCGTGTATTCCTTGGTTCGTCGTTGCAGATGTGGTCTCAGCTGTCGGGTGTGAACGTGATGATGTGGGTCGTTGTCCTTTCTACCTGTTTTCATCTCACGCGGCGCAGGTACTACATCATCTACGTGTTCGAAGGCGCTGGTCTGTCCGGTCGCCGGAGCAATCTCATTGCCGATGCGGTTCAATACGTGCTCAATGTTGTTGCCACTGTCCCGGCTATCGTATACATCGACAAATGGGGCCGTCGGCCCATGCTGCTCGCGGGCACTCTCGCTATGGGATTCTGGTTGTTCCTCGTGGGTGGCCTGCAGTCCAAATTCGGGCACTGGGACACGAGCTCGCCGCCCGTCTGGATCATCGAGGGCCATGACGCCGCGACCAAGGCCATCATCGTCTGCTCTTATCTGTTCGTTTGCTCCTTTGCCGTGACTATGGGCCCGGTTTCTTGGACTTACCCGGCCGAGCTGTTCCCGACCAAGGTGCGCGCCAAGGCTGTCTCTGTAGCCACCTCGGCCAACTGGGCTTTGTGAGTGATTTCGTTCGCTATCTTGTTCGCATCTTATCTGTCCACAGCAACTTTGCCCTCGCGTGGGCGGTCCCACCTGCGCTGTCCCATATCGCGTACAAGACGTATTACATCTTCGGGACCTTCAATTTCGCCGCCTTTGTGCACATCTTCTTCATGTTCCGTGCGTCCATGTCTGCTATTCTCGGCTGTCCCCACTCACATCCCGCAGCCGAAACCGTTGGCCGCTCGCTCGAAGAAGTCGAAGCCATCTTTGCGGAGGGACACGTCTTCTCGCCGTGGCGGATTGGTCGCGATGTTGGGGTCAAAACCCTGGCCGAGGTGTCTGCGGCGAGGAAGACGGGTGCCAACGAGGAAAAAGCTAGCGTCGAGAAGCTCGAGGCTTGAGCACATGTTGTGACCTATGGTTTACGTTTCTTTCACGATGGTCGCATTTCTGCTTTACGATTTGTTGTACGATAAACGCACGTAGTTTGAATGATATCGACGCACTTGAATATGTCGTATGGCGCACTATGATGGAACGGAACATACTCGGAAAGATGAATATTTTCAAGTGCTCGCGACTGGTCGATTAGATACATCTGCACTGCACTAGAAGCAGAGACAGTCCACACTTCTTTTCAGCCAGCCGTGCGAAGCCCCAGTTCAAGCGGAGCTGGTCCTGAGTGTTTCGGAGTGGAGCTGAACGCGGGACTGACGTGTCAGCGCTGCGAGAAGTGTCAAGTCACTGCTCTCAAGCCTGATTATATAACTGCATCATGTCAACCAGGAAACGTGCCGAGACAACAAGTTCAAGTTAATGACGTCTCAAGATGCTGCGATCGGAATTCATCTAGAGCCCCACGGCAACTCTGGCTGAGCCATGAAGATCATCATTGAAGACAATCACCAAGCGGCCTATCCGTAGTCGCATTCGGGGCTATTCGGGGGTGCGAGCGGTCACTCATGTCATGCGTCACATCTCATTTCTTTTACCACCTTGCACCAATTGATATAAGTGTTCTGCGGAACCTACGACGTGAGGACCGAATCCTTGCATGCGTCTACCTTCGCATCAATGCCGCGTTGGCTAGCTGGCTCTGCTCATGGTCCTCGCATTTCGTCCAATAAGTGAAGACTGCCGCCTGATCCCCCCCGTCCTCTGCATGTGTGCGGGATTGCATCGAGGTCGCCGAGAGTGCAGCTGCTTTAAAAGGAAATACGAAAGCCCTGAAGGATGGAGTGCCTTGTGTGGCTTAGTTGCAAAGGGTGTCCAGCATGGGTGGACGGCACGGGAGGCTCGGATGTCCCGGGAGCCGATTCAATGAAGGGTTGAGTCGAGTGAGGATGCGCAGGGGAGAGAAACCCAGGTGCGTCTTGTTTTTATGCCCCTCCGAGTCTGTGTACATATAGTATCGTGCCACAGCCGCCAGAACCACTCGAAGATGTGGTCGTCCCGTTCGCGGACTCGAACGCGTGGCCTCACAACATGGGGCGCCTCTTGCTATCTGCGGTATCACACATATGGCGTAGCTACACGGTCACCTCCCATTTGCACCGATTGCGCACCTCGCAGTGACCGACTCTTGGAGACCCGCGAATAAACCTGGGAGATCGATGAGTCGGATGCTACTGCACGTTTGGGACTTTCTCCTCGCCGGCGGAGAATAGTACCAACCCATAACGCCAGATCTTTTCGAGTACAGCGGATGCGTGCAAACCGCCGGAGAATCCCACAGAGTCCCTGTTCTGATGAGAACAGTTGCCCAGCCCTCGACAAGATTCAGTTCCCCGCCGCCGGCGTGTCTCTGAAGAACCCCTCTCGGCCTGGACATCCTCGAGTTCGGGATCGACGCGAGAGATGCACCGCCATGCCGTTCACCGCGCGCTGGCTCATGGAGATGTCTTTAGGTATTAGGATATTAGTGCCCACCCGCAATCGCCTGTGCGGTGAGATAAAGCGCAGTCAATGACAAGCTGCAGGCCGTGTCGACCTTCAGTGAAGGGCCCGTCTGTAACGCGGCAGGTGGAATTTCCCACTAGAGAACGTAGCGGAATCCGGAATTAAGGAGAAACGTAGAATTAGGAGAATATAGAAATTATGGCGTAGTCTCTAGGCTCGAGGAACTCGAACGTAGAGTCTAGCCGAGAGGCGACCACCAAGTGGAAGGCTCCGATTAATACACAATCCTAATCCTGACGAATTATACCCAGTCTGCTGGGCCCCGGTCGACTACAGTCGACGTCGCTAAGGCTCCAACAGTATACGTGTATAACCGTGTTTACACGGTTATAACTGTATCTGTATCCGTGTCGTGTACAAGGGCCTGTATACGGTACACACACGGTACACACACAGTTTACACGGTTGATTTTAGAAACACGTACAATATAACGTACTGAGACCACAGAACCTCCCCGATCATACATTGTTACATCATAAATACCTTGCCCACAACTCCTTCAGAATACACGTGTGATACCAACGGCAACCCCATTGGACAGCTGTTTTTTTTGTGCTCCCATCATGGCTGCTGCTGGCGAAAGTCGGCCCTCCCGTATACGCATTGCTTCATACAAGGTCGCCGATCCCCAAAATGCGGGAGATCTCTCCGAGCTCCACAGGCAATCGGCAGCTGGTGAGGAACTCTGATGAGAAACTCCATCATTGTGGCTGAACTATCAAGCTGAACGCACCCGCGATTTGATCGGCCGTCTCCGTTCACTCGAGCCTCAGCTCCCGGACCACTTGCCCATGGTGTCAGAGCCATCTGGCGTGGTCCATCGTGTCATGACCGAAGTGTGGGGAATCGATGGGAAGGACAACATCCACGGAACGTGTGTGCGACGACTCGACATCCTATATGCAGAGCATCTGCGCGCTTCTGCCGATGGTCGTCTTCCCAACATTGTCCGCGGGGTGAATGGGTTCCAGCTCGTGATTGGGTATCTGGAGTCGATTCCATGGGAGACAGTCCCGGATCTGGTCAGCACAGTCCAGACCAAGATTGTTCGGCTGGTTGATGAGTTGGAGGCTGTGTGCAAGTGAGTACTCTGTTCTCCGACATCATTGTGTCCACTGACCCACAGCAGTACTCCTCCGCCGAAGAAACAGACAAACTGTGTCAATGCAAGCAACAAGAGTACGAAGCCACCACCAAAGAGTACGAAGCCACCATCAAAGCTCTCACAAACTAGCAGCAAGGAGAGGCAGGATGCTGGAGGCAGTTCTGCCGGTTCTGCGGGAGGAGAGAGAAAGAAGAAACAGAAGACGAGTGGCTTACAGGAGAAGATGGACGGTGCGTTGTTCTCAGTATTCATAAGTCGCCTCGTGAACAGTAATAGCTATCTTCAATGCGAAGTTTCTGCCACAAGCGAAGAAAAGCAGGAAGAACAAGAAGAAGAAGAAATCGGGCAGCAGCCACCGAGACTCTGGCTCCGATTCAGATGACCGTGACTACACCCTTCCCAAGAACTTGGCCACACTCTCAGAGGAAGACGAGGACGATGACATCGAGAGTGATGTAGCGACAAAGGCAGGCAGAAAACGCAAGGCGGCCGATATCTCAGACAATGAGCAAAGCCCAGGAGATGGAGGAGACAGTGAGAATGACAACAAAGCGGTGGGTGTGATCCCCATAATTGATTGTCACCTTCCAAATAAATTTGATTTTTTTGACGAAAATTTAACTGTATACAACCATGTGTAACCGGTTATACACAGTGAGTATACGTATACCAACCGTATCCGTATAGTGTACGCTGAGGTGTACACGGATACGATACGGTTGGAGCCTTAGACGTCGCTTTGTGTTGAGGTCGAAGGGACCGTCGTAGTCAAGTGTCAAGAAGTAAGTATCGTATTGTTTGTAGAGCCATCAGTTAATGATGACTATGTATATTTCTCCTCCCAGATGTGATCCCGTTGCAAACGTGGATCCTGACCTCATTTCTCCACAAAATTTTATGAAAATTATATCCACATGTACCTTAAGGTCCCCTGGACCCGGGATCCACATGGATCCATGTGTCTGAGGGGGTGGGGCTGCTGCGCAGCCCCACCAGGAAGGCGTCTTTTTTGACACCCTGGAAAACTGGTGCAATGATCAGAGGATGGATCCCAACCGCAGTTGACTCAACACTCACGATTTTTTTTGCGCATTCTCACATGGACATATGTAAGATTTCACATGCCAAGTTTCATATTTATTCAACCAGCCGTTGTGGTGGAATATCGACATCTTCCTCCAGCACCATCAGAATCACTGATGCTGATTAGACGATGGATCCCAGAGGCAAACCTCCTCGAATCTATTTGCTCGTTTGAGAAATTATGTACTTAAACACATCTACTATGCATCTGTCCACACAAAACAGCTGTCCCTGCGTTGAGGAGGAATGGGGAGCCAGTGCAAGGCGAGGAGATGAGAAATGATGGGAGCTGTCAACAAAGTCTAGGAGAACGCAGCGAGAATCGTGGATCCCAGAGTCAACTCCTGGACAATGGAAAATCCTCGCCACTCAAATTGAAGGTCAGCATAAGCAGAACACTTCTGGCGACTCAAATTTGCTGCAAAGTGCGCCCAGAGGCCAGAATCCACGCACAAGAACAGCCCACGGAGGGTGTGACGCTGTTATCACACCCTCCCACATCCTCATCTCGCATCTCACGGACGGTATAGGTGTTCACCCCGGTCTTCCTGTCAGCAAACCGGGACACTTGCCGACCAGAACGACTCAACAACAGGCTCTGCATGCACCAAAATCGGAGCCGTGGCGTCACCTCACGTTTGCACATTAGGGCCATCGCTCAGACCTGCGCAAGTTGTACGAGCACCACTCGATCGAATCCACCGAATTCTGGCAACCAACGAACATACCCGAGGATCTGAAGCCGAGGCGCACAAGCGCAGAGGAGCAAGATGGACGAGTGGGCAACGCGCAGGGAGAGGGTTTTGGGCGCTTTCCGCAGGTGCGTTTCATTTCCTCACCCATGTCCACTTGACCTCCCTCTGTCCGCCAATAGCTCTCGATGTATCGCGCCACATTGGGCGTTTGCCGTGCACCTTGGAACCGGACGCGCGCCCACCGCAAGTTGCTTGGGGCCTTTTGTGGCATCACCCGTACCGCGCTCTCCCCTCACTTGTGCAGTTTGCACATCCTTAACAGGGCGGCTCTTGACACTCGACTTTCGGCGTACAAACCAGCGAACGCTTACCCCCACCGTCCGCCGACTCTACATCCCGGGCCCTATCAACACCACAACCTCCCCAACACGAGCTCAACGTCCACCCCGTGGTTGGGCGCCATCGCATTGCTTCAAGACCACAAACGCGGCTTATCTGTGCTCTAGGGAATGCATACAACATGATTCAGCCGCTCGCTGGATCCGCGGGGGCCAACAACGACATGCCCGCAGAGCTCTCCTTTGGAGCGCACAGCAACCCCGACTAGCACCTTCGGACCGCCGCCCGCCGGAACCAGCACTCTCCCCCACCTTCATACGACATCCCAAACACGGCAAGCATATGCACCAAGTCAGCTGAAGACCCGTTCATTCCCATTGGCACCCATTTAACCCTAGGTTGTGCGTGCCATATCCACCGGTCCACTTTTTAGAAGCTCAACTTCTCTGCAGCCTGTTACCCGGGGGTAAACAGGCGATTCCATCCTATTCGGCATTCTCACTCTGAGTGTGGTCACGCGCCAACGGAGTTCACTACAGCTTATTCGCAGGCGACGAGCTGTGGACCGGACGGATTTGGATTTTGGAGACGTGCCAATTGCGAGGCTGAGGTGTGCCTTGTCAGGACTGCAGGTGTATGACGGCCAGGTTGGACGGGCGAACGCGCAATTCCAAGTCAGGTGTATGTGGCTAGAGTGTTCACCGCGTCCCCCGATATCTTATCCCGCGCTCAGATGACAATGGCTCAAGAGTCAAAACGCGACTGCACAAGTACAGTGTGGAATACAATGCTGGCGGTGCGGGGCAGACCCTCGTCGGAAACATACCCTTTCTCATCGACTGCGACCCCCGTTCTGTGACGTTCTTCATCTGCACCGTCCATGTCTGCTCTTCCTCCTGCTCTCCGCCGCCGCTTTTATCGCCTTTTCTCTTCCTCCCTAGGTGGATATTGCGTTCGAGTGCCTGCCGTTGTTTGGCATTGTCGCCCGCACGCTCGATCAGAGTGTCCGCAGAAATGAGCGGTTTCTCGAGCACGAGCTTTCTCAGCTCTTGGATGCGGTCCCGATATGGTTGGATTGTGTCTGGACATGAAGCGGGGGGTCAGCATCAGCGCCGTTGGTTGTTGCATAGGACAGCTTCGAGCAACGGTAATGGGGTGATTTTGCGGTGCAGCAATAAGCTGCACAGCATGCCATCAAACCTTCCTGGGTGTCCACAGCGATTTACCCCAATTATGTAGATCCCGTTTGAAGGGCCGATCGCCGCAAGCGATGCAAATGTCCCTGACTGCGGATCTGTCTGGGTGACTGCCGATGCGCGGTCTGGGCGATGCTGCGAAACCATCCTGTGTGGTCCGAAAAGTCACCGCGCGTCCTATTCCAAGTCCCACGAAACTGTATGAGTAAGAGATGTCAAAATGACGGAAGTGAGCGGTAGAAAGCGAAAGAACTTACCTGCGAACTCCTCTCCCAACCGAGTTCTCAGAGTGCTCCACCCCTTCTGCATACATGTCCTCTCTGCCTTCCGATCTCCCCAATACATCCTCCCATTGCGTTCGTTGAGCGCCGCGCGTTGTTATTTGAGCTGTGCGATGGGTGCAAGGCAGAGAAAAGAGCGGACCGCTGCGCCGTTGCGATGTAACATACACTGCGATGTGTTGTGTGAGGTGACACAGAGCGTCTGATTTCGGGGTACAAGAGACACATCCTAGTTAGTGTCAAAGGAGGACAGTGGGCGGACTGCCCCACGATGCGTGGTGCGAGCTCGTAGTGCTGTGTGTGGTCCCAATATCAGCCCCCAAACTCTACAGCCCCTTCCTACACATCCTGGTGATGTCCGAATGAATACGGTGCGCTTTGGTGTGTCGTGAGACGTGAGCAGGTTGGCGCATGAGGTCGAAATGACAACCCGTCGTGTCTGATGTCAGCGGTACACAGGGCAGGATGTCGAGTTTTCACACAGAGGAAGGTCGAGGGGAGAAAGAACTCACACCTGCTCATCCGCATTATCCCAGCGCTCCAACCCCCTCCGTCCGAATTCCGAGCCCCTCTCCTTTACCACTGAGAGAACCTCGAAGAATGGAATGGGGCTCTGCTGGATGCTCATAGCTTGCGGTGAGATGTCGTCAGTTGGGGGGTACGTGCAATAACGCGGATGGCAGGACCTGAGGTTGCATGTTCGAGTTCGGGCGCATGAAAAGCACGTGCTCGAGAGGTTGTGATTAGTATGCGGCGTAGCATGTGAAGTGAACGGACGGTGAGAGGTAGGCTTTAAGAAAAGCAATGGTGGGCCTAGCCCCATCCACCCATCTGACGCTCCTGCACCACCTCCCTCGGATCAATTCCACCAGTTTCGTCCACTGATCTAGTCGCTGAAGGTCGATTCTCAAGCTGACTTGTTGAGGATGTGCGATCGGCGCAATCGAGAGGAGAGAGCAAAAAACTGCACAGCTGGTGATGCCGCAAAAGGCGCTGAGCGTATGCAGGCGAGCCCGCGTCCGACTCCGAAGTCTCATCGCGCACCACGCGCGGCAGAAACGAACAGTCACATTCCTTGCGTCGTTACGATGCACTGTGTGGCCGAGCCAGCCTCCCTCAGCGCGCGCACGATCTTGTAAAAGGCATGCGTTTCGGAAGTGACCATAGAGAGCAGCGTCTTCAGGCTCCCCACACAAAAGGAGATCCTCGGGGAAACCTCAAGAAGCAATCCCAGGCAGGCCAAGTTGTCGCGGAAGCCAGAAGCAGCGTCCTGGACGACTAGTGCATGGACTCAGATCCGGCGCTGGCAGATGGCTCGGGAAGACCGGGCAGACAAAACGAGTGGTTTCGGCGACGGACCCGAATCATCGACGTATGAGAGAATGAGCTCAATCAATGGTAGCGGCAGCGCAGCCTCCATGAACAAGACGGGAGAGCGCAAGTAAATACGGATGTGGGAACGCACGGTCCCGGGCCGGATTTGATGCGCAATGATTGCTTATCTAACACCAAGCAGCTTGGCACGTCATTTCACGTGACGAGTCCATATCGACATGTGCTGTTTGCAACCTTTCCGCTCTCGACTACATTTGCCTGTGAGTCTCACCCCATTTGATCGCAAATGCCACCAGTGGTCTGAGCTGGACGACGCAGACTGCCACACCGCTCAGAAGCGGTTCCGCCTCACGTACACGCAGCGCATTTTGCGCTCATCTTCTCATTGCGCCGATCACGCACCCTCAACGCCCATCGATCGACTTTCTGCCACCGGACCGACAAACGAAACAGGGGGCATGGGAGCAGGGGAGGCGGATGGAAGAGTGGACGACTTTCCGCGCCGCATACCCACCGGAATGTCGCGAGCATGTGCGTTCGTCCTGCGCCCAAATCCATTTGATGTCGTGCCACAGCCCGCCAGAACCACTCAAAAGTGCGTTCGTCCTGTTCTCGGCGTCGAAGGTGCGACCTCACACCATGCAGCGGATCTGGCTATCTGCGGCATCAAACGCACGCGCAGCTATACCGTCCTCTCCCACCTGCACCGATCGCAAACCGCCCAACGACTAACTCTTAGAGATCGGGAAACAAAAATGGTAGATTGATCCCAGGGGCACAGGACGGAGGAATTGGATGCGCG